ATACTTTACCATGGCTTCTTTCATTACAATGGGATGACGATGAGAATAGACTTCCATTTAACCCATATTGGCACCTTACGGAATACGCACGTGCGGAAGATCCATTCAAAAAACTCTATAGCGTCAACGACAAGGAACCTTTTAAACCGTTCTTACAACAATTGCCGCAAAACCTCCGAGCGAGAATCGCTTTCGTGGGACTTATCACGACCCGTCTTCACGTACTCCGGGCTTCACGCGAGTGGGGTCCGAACGAAAACCGGGCGGCAGAATTCTTAAATGTTTCAAAAATCAATGGTTTATCAGATGTTTATAAACAAACGATCAACAAAATATTGATAAATCGACATCCCCTCCTTCAACTGAATAGTAGAGTAGATAATAGTAATTTATTGATGAAATCGGTAATAGCTCATGTAATAGCATTACACGCTTCCATGCCACCGGAGGCCTCACCTCTCGCTACACTTTTCCATAAATTGGATAAATGCCAAAACATATTTATACTAGCCTGTATATCAGATATTGAAGCTGTTTTATTGAGTGCAGTTATAGCGTCAGGAGGTCAAGTTACTCGGTAAGTAAATTTCAATTGTTTCTGTTTTTTGATGTTATCAATGGAAACGACTAAAAACTCGATTTTCAATACGAAAATTTGAACAGGTATTCTTGTGAATGTGGTTCTAAATATGTCATTGCTAACTGCGGCCAAGCCATGGAGGCGATGAGATGTCCTGATTGCAAAACAAGAACTATCGGAGGTGGTGATCATAAATCAGCTGCTGGTAATCGTCGACTGGATACTAATCCAATCAAAGGACCTATCGCCAGTAACGATCAAGCCGGATATATTGGAGAGTCAACAAATCAAACAATGATGCATAGCGTTCGATCCATGCCACCTATTTCATATAGGATTCTACACCTATTTGTCCACGTTCTCATTAGTGGTTCTTCACAAGCGGTAACAAATAACTTCCTTCAAAAGAATAATCAAGTCGCCAACAATGCGGAACAATATTGCATGGATCATATACAAAATGATTGGAATGTCTTAAAAGGAATTCTAAACTGCAATGATGAAAATTTGGCATTATTATTACACTCAATACTTTCACTGATGACTCAAAATCCTCCACCGGCATCTGCATTAAAAACTCCCGCTGAACGTGAAGAGTGGGAAACTAGTTTCACCAGAAATTACGTGTCGCCACAAACCAAGAGCGTTACAGAAACAACAGCTAATTTCCGCACCATACTTGACACCGCGTCAGCCGCACAAGGAAATAACAGCGGTATTATTGAATCCTGGATCAATCAGACGCTAGCAATCAATGATGAGCATCATGCTAAATTCTTACCTCGCCTCTGGAGAAAAATTGGGATTAATAGCTTCGAAAATTTCCGAGCACATTATAATGGCAATTTATCACAAAATCAGAAAGACTTCCCATTCCTCTCCGTGTACTTTAAACACGAAAGAAAATTACCAAGGATTAA